CTGACGGGTGATTGCTGTGGCAAAAAGATCGATAGAAATAGCTGAGAGACGTGCGAAACAAAGGACCCGCATGGTGTGGTGGTGAACGCGTTACTCCCCGGAAAGGATAATAGCGCGTTCGTTCCCCACCATAGACACCTGCGGTCCAGAGTTTTGCAAATATCTCAGCAACGTTGTAGTTGTATTTCGCTCAGTAACCTGCCATGAAAATTATAGAAGGCAGAAAACAAAACGTTAAACAATAAAAAAATGTTCTTTGAAGAAGGAACGAAAGAAAAGTAATTGTCCTCAAAAGTCGTCTTTCAGTCGTCTCACCTCACTAGGAATAACCAATGTGTTCTCTTCCATTGATAAGCATGCACTAGACTGATAGAAGAAGTCATTCGGCTGACGTTTCGGCGCCTTCGCATTCCTTGGATTTAAAATAACTCCAGTCGATTGTTTACAATGCTTCTATCTTCAGATGCAGGCCTCCATAATCCCATAGAGTGGAACCTAAGGGTGCACTGCTCGAAGAGGTGATTCGACTAGATGCGATCAAGAAGATTCACAACGGAAGGCGGAAGAACTGCTACTAATCCGCTCGAATCAATTCAACTCTGAAGAAGACGAAGGCGCCGAAACGTTAGCCGAATAGCGTTTTTTGTCAACCTCGTGTTGGTTCACCAAGAAAGAAAGAGAGAGTGGGGGAACCATAACATGCAAGAAGATTAATAGACGTCTGCCGATAAATTCAACAAATATATGCGTTCAAAAAGCAGTTAATTTCTCAATATTAGAAGTTTATGTTGGCAGTGAAACACTAGGCATTTGTGGTCCATTTTCGATCAAACAGCAACCTTCATGGAGGTTCACTGCTAGACGCGTGGATGTACACCAATGCATTTACAGTTGCGTTGTTGGCCGTTTCTCCGAAAGCTGTACCGCCTTGAAACGTAGCCAATGCTCCGCTCATGGTCTGTAAAAACACAGAGATTGGCTAGATTGTGGCAAATGCATGGTAGTGTTTGTATGCGTCCACAATAGCCCCATTGTGAACGATTTTTTATTAAGGTGGCACCCCCACCACCGCTGATATTGTAAGAGCCGTGATTTAAAACAGCTATTTTCTGCACAATAATTTCATAAAAAAATGTTGTCGGGACGAGTTTGCCTTTCTTTCTATGAGTTATGCAATCATTACAACAGCGTAAGACTGTCGTTTGTGATAAAGTACTAAGATGCCTACGTTGCTGGGACATTTTCGAAGGTGTTTTCGAAGGCTTGTTTAAAACGGCATAGAATGCGTACCTGCGATGCACAAAATGCATCGACACATCGTTCGTTTCTGGTAACTGAATGGGGAAAAAATTTATGAATAAATGGAAGACATAAGAGTAAAACTCAAGGAATCAGGTATAAAGCCAATCCACTAGCGATAGAGGTACTCAACACAAGAATTTCACTTTCGATAGACTCTCCATAGTTCGGAATGTCCTGGCTTTTCAGAATGCCCTGGTTTCATGTTCAATGCACGACCACTCCATTTAGATATCGTATATCGTAAAATATAGTAATCTGCTACTGATGTAAAACTTCCATATTATGAAAGAAACTACATCTCTACTTAATAAATCAATAAAGGAAAAAAGACTGACCAATCTTGTCGTGAAAGAAGCCGGTGATCCGCTCAACACGCCGTCAGCCACCATTTGCAGAACTCCTGGATCAAACGATTCGGTAGGTGGCGAGGCAGCTTGACTTACGTTATTGCCAGCAGTCGTGGTCGTGTTGATCACCGGGTGACGTTAGCTAAAAGCGTTAGATATTTCTTCGTTTTCACAAGTAACGTGTCCCTAACATCTGAAGCAGTCCAAATTAAACAACTAATTAAGTGGAATTCGATCGCATCATCCGCAACAAATCTCTGATTCCTCTACATTGCGACGGTCGCGCCGTAATGAACATCGAAGGGAAAAGAACTATGGCTGTATAATATTTATGTGTCGTGGTTCTTCCTGATAGCAGACTATTGTAAATCCTACATCATGATTACAGAAGGCAAGTAATGATTTGCAGTTCTATCACGTACCCGATCTGCTACCTACTGTTGCATTTCAAAGGATTGTTGCGAACGCATTGGACGACTGCTCTTCGGCCGTAGTTCTACTGTGTTTCGTGGACAAAGCAAGAAAAGCAAATACCACAGTTATAAGGAATAAGATATCGAAACTTTTAGAGATCTTCGTCATCCGCAAAAGCAGCACTGGCCAGGTGATCCATATTCAAAACAGTAGGAACCCCTATGCAACTTCACAACCTGAAAAGAAAATGCGGTCGAAAATTGCTTTATAACGAAATCCAATCGTGTGAGTGATGAAAACGTAACGAAACAAATCGAACACTGCGGAAACATAACAAATCATTATGGACTATCCGGCCTGACCATCATCACGACATCAGGCCGAATGTGGGAGACGGATGAGAGCACAGGGGAGAGTGACGAGAACGAACAGCAACTTCGATGAGTTCATGACACTATCTATCTTATCATCAAGAAAAAATAAAGAA